GTTGTTGGTTCCGATCGTAGTGCATCTCGGTGCAGGCGGATTTTTATTATAATATTCACAACATGCCCAGATTGTTTGCGAAAAGACAACTCCGCCACTCGACTTCTTTTTTTCGGCTGCCCCATTTAATTTATCCGCGTTTCATGTGTTAAGCTACAGCGCTCGTTTCGAATTTCCACGAATCCTGGAGCCTCCAAATTGCGAGGCCTCACGCATCCCACGCACACCGAGTGTTGTTGCCGGGCGGCACGGTCGCCGCTAACAACAAACGTTTAATAAAAGCACCGAAGGGATGAAAAGCCGGCCCGGCAGGGAAATGCGTTTTGTTTCATTATTTTGGCTGTTTGATGTTCCATCCGCCGTGGTGGGGGTTGTCGAGGGGGCCATGGCCGTGCCCGGCCACGCCACGCCGAGGGCCTGCGCGGCTTGCGAGCCCCGGTATTGGCAGCAGTGTTGGCAACCCTGCCACCGCTCATCGCTTTGTGACGGCCTGTGTGTGCGTGTGTGCGTGCGTGTGTGCGTGCGCGTGTGTGCGAGGGGTGCGCAGGGTGTGTGGACCGGGGGGAGGCGGGGGAGGGGAGGAGAGGGGTGGGGTGGGGTCCGCCGGGGTGATGCCATCAGTTTGATATCTCTATCAGCGCTGTCAGCACCCCACCACAGTGGGAGACCACTCCCCTCGCTCTCTCTTCCCAGCACCCCTTTCACAGTTCGCTCTCGCTCGCTCTTTCTCTCATATCAGATTATAACGCTGAAAAAAACTTGGTGTGGCTGGCGGGCGGCCTGACTGCCTTATTTGTTGGCCTGCTCGCTTTTAAAGGACGTTATTATCGCTCCATTTTAAATTATCCATCGCCGTCCGTGCCAACACCTCCAATTTCGCGGCCTATGGCTCCTGCGCGCTCCAGAGCGCGGCCTGGGCCATCGGTTTTCCTCTCCAGAGACCCCCACTGTATCCTAACATTCTGCCATTATGCCTGTAAGTGTTGTGCGCCTTTCCGGGATTGTGTTTGTTGGCGCCAAGTCGGCGCGCGATTGATCTTCATTCATGCGAATGAGTTTGCCGATAAGCTTATTAGCGCCTTTGCACGAAAGTCTACAGGTTAATGACGACAATCGATAGTCCGGGAGGGCGATTGCCGCCTCCGGGCGCTCACTGCCGCTTCCGCCCCATAATCGTGTTGCTGCTCCTCGTTTAGCGCGCCGCTCGGCACAGTGGGCCAGAAGCTGGTGGAGGCGGCCAAAACTCTATACGCGTTTTGAGCTCCAGAGTCGCTAAATAGGACTCGAACCGAACGTGTGACCCCACCAATGGACTGTTCTCCGGACGAGGAATCCATTGGTGGGGTCACACGTTCGGTTCGAGTCCTGCTTAGCGACTCTGGAGCTCAAAACGCGGGTAGAGTTTTGGCCGCCTCACCGGTCTTCCGGCCCACTGTGCGCCTCTGCCAACTCACCCAGAAGGCCTGTTTAGGCATCCGACTGAGCACACGCTGTGAGCGTTCCGCAGGCATCAGGCTGGACTCGAACCAAACACCTGACGGTACCAGTCCGTTCGGTGCGAGTGCCGTTGGGCGTTCCGAACAGAGCTCAAGCGTGCTCACAGTAGGACTAGGACAGTAGAACATCGGCCTACACCGTAGACCCCTCTGCCCTACGGCCGGCCAGTCCCGTCCGCGCCGAGCCAAGCCACACCGCGCAGCCCGCCCCGCGCTGCCCCGCGTCGCCCCGCGCTGCCATTCGCCACACCCGCGAGAGGCACGCTCCCCGTTTCACGGCAAATTAAAACAGTTTGCTCCGAACCGCGCTTCCTGGGAAAAGCGGCCCACTTTTCACGCCTCGCGCGGAAAACGATTCGTGTCATTGCAGTTCCCCCGGCCGCGGGTGCGGGTGTGCGGGTCTCGTGGGAGCGCCAGCGGCCAGCCCCATAGTGGGCCAGAAGACCCGGTAGAGGCGGACAAAACTCAAGACGCGTTTTGAGCTCGGGAAGTCGCTAAAGGGGACTCGAACCGAACGTGCGACACCAGCGATGGATTGCTCTCCGAACGAGGAGTCCATTTGTGGGGTCACACGTTCGGTTCGAGCACTGTTTAGCGACTCTGGAGCTCAAAACGCGTCTAGAGTTTTGGCCGCCTCCACCAGTCTTCTGGCCCACTGTGAGCCCGGGCCAGCCCCGGCCGGCCGCCCGGCAGGTAGGCAACGCGCGGACACCCGCGCGGCGCCGGGGCGCGCCGGCCTACCTGCAGGGCGCCAATGCCCTGCTCCCCACCCCACCCCACCTCGCGCCTCCGGACAGCGCGCCGTCGCTCTTTGTCTCTCGCACGCCTGAACGCTTGGGGTGCGAGAGAGACAGGCGGCGCGGCGCACTGTCGTTGACCGCGCCAGGCGCCGCCAGGCACCGCGGGGCGTCGTAATTAGTTCTCTCTTTCATCCGCGCATCCGCGACTCGACGGCGAGGAGAGGAGGGCCTCCGCAGCGGAACGCACCGCGCGACCCGGCGACGCCTCGCCTCGCGACGCCTCGCGCTGCGTCTCCACAATGTATAATTGCCCCGGTCGCGCACACGTGGACGAACACCCCGCCCCGCCCCGCCCCGCGCGTCGCGCAAAGTATGGCGCGGCGCGGAACTAGTCGAATCCGTGAACGCTATTTACCAGCGTGGCAGTCAACACTGTTCAACAACACGCGCACACAAACACACACACACACACTACACACACACAGTGCGCACCGCTCCCCGCCACTCGGCCGTGTGTGCTGCAGGGCTGAGAGCACGTAATTACGCATCACCCTGTGTCGATGGCTCGCGTAGTGTGAGCCTCTCTGTGCGCGTGTGTCTGTCTGTGTGCGTGCGTCAAGTGGAGGGTGTTGCTGGGCCAATCATGGAATCGCCTCCCACATTCAGGGCCACCACCGGCCCGGCGGCGCTCCGGTCACCTCAAGCACGTGTTCGGTGGACCGGTGTCCGCTCGACCAGCACCAGCGGCACCAGCGGCACCAGCCTGCGTGGCCCGCGAGAATGCTTTGCCGCGCCTCTTTTAGTCGCGAGGATTCCAAGAATCCACGCGGCGCGGGGTGATGGCGCGGCAGGGCGCGGCGGGGCGCGGCGCGGTAGGGCGCGACGCGGCGCGTATGGAATTCTCCCTCTCGGAGTGGCGCGACACATGGAGAGAGAGGGAGAGAGAGAGAGAGAGAGAGAGAGAGAGAGAGAGAGAGAGAGAGAGAGAGAGAGAGAGAGAGAGAGAGAGAGAGAGAGGTGACAATACCGGTGGCTCGGTGACGCTAGCAGCGGGGGCGGCCGGGGGCGGCGGGGATGGCGACGGGGACCTCACACAAAGCGCGCCGAGCGTCACGCCGCCACGCCAGCAGAGCAGAAGGGCTCAATATACCAGATTGTGATAATTAACCCCTTGGACGTCCCGCAGGGGCCCCGGCCCGGCCCGGCCGCGTCGAAGGGCTCGTTCGCCCACCTCGGTGGGAGGGCCGCTGCACCTCTGCTTGGCGGCACATCTGTCTGTGGCGCCTGCCTGGCTCGGTCTGGCCGTGCTGACTGAATCCGGCCGCGGGCCGCGGAGGCGAGCGTGGACGGCGCGACGCACAGTGGGCCAGAAGATCAGTGCGGTCGAAATCCCGGGCACGTTTTGGGCTCTAGAGTCGCTAAACAGGACTCGAACCGAACGTGTGACCCTGCCAATGAATTGCTCTCCGAACGAGGAATCCATTGGTGGGGTCACACGTTCGGTTCGAGTCCTGTTAAGCGACTCTGAGGCTCAAAACGCGTCTAGAGTTTTGACCGGCCGCGCTGGTCTTCCGGCCCACTGTGCGGCGGCGCCGAGGGGCCCAGCGAGGCCCGCTCCATGCCCGCTCGCCGCAAAGTGTGGTAATCCCTTTGGACGGTCAGGTTTCCGGGAAGGAGGCCCGCTCCCCTCGGATCGCCTGGATCCAGCCGAGGATCCAGCACATCCAGCATTCAGCCCTGCGAGCGAGACGCCTGGCACAGCCTGGTGCTTCCCTCTTGTCGCCCCTCGCCTGATAATAGCGGCGTCCAGGTGACGCGTTGCGCGCTCCTGTCGTTTTCTTATCAAGTGCTCCTGAGCCCCTTGTCGTCCTTCTTTTCTCTCCGATCTGTCCGCCTTTTTTTCCCGTCCACTCGGCGCGCGTTTTCTTTGGCGACGTGTCCCCGCCTCAGGAAGGCCTCGAGATTGTTCAAGTGGCCGTGCCGTGCCGTGTCGTGCCGTGCCATGCCGTGCCGTGCCATGCCGTGCCGTGTCGTGTCGTGTCGGTCGCGTCGCGCTGTCGCGCCATTCAAACCACCCCGGCAGCAGGCTGCGTCCCGACGTCATAACGGATTCTTTTTTGGGTACGCGCAGCATACTGCCCCAATAGTTCTGCTCGCACAAAGTCAGTTCCGGGAATCTCTCGAATTCCTCTGCCTTTCACTCTTTCTTTTCCAGAAGTTCCTGATTTTCTCTTCCGAGCACTCACTCTCTGACGCATGCCACCAATTGTTTTTCTCTGCCGTATTGCTTTGCGTCGGTCCCGGTCGGTCCCGGTCCCTACTTTCGAGTACGTTTCGTTCGCTTCATTTGTCTGTAATTTGCGGAGTGATCCTGCTCCAGGGTCGGGATGAGGTGCGGCCCAGCCGGGCTGCCAGGCAGCCAGCCAGACCGCCAGGCAGGAGCCAGGCAGCCAGACCGCCAGCCAGCCAGGCGGAGACGGGTCGCCGCTTTGTCCAGTGTGTCACCCATGCCCCACTGCTTGTCCTTGGCCGCGTCAGTCGCCCTGGAAGCCCCATTCAGGGCCTCTCCACCTCCCTACAGGAGTGTGTTTTCAGCGGCTCACGCAATCCATTGATGCAATCAGGTGTTTGATTCTGCACCCATTTTAGGACCATATGGAGAGTGTGCCTGGACTGGCCTCCAGCCGTCTCCTGTGCACCGCACCTGCACAAGCCACAAGAAACCGGCGCCAGGAAAATTTTAACGTGTGGCCTTTGTGTGCAGGTGTCTTCCATCAACAGGGTCCTGAGGAACTTGGCGGCGCAGAAGGAGCAGCAGAGCACGCCGACGCACCCCGGCCCCGGCGTCACTCCCGGCGGCGGCCCCGGCTCCGGCGTGGGCTCGGGGACGCCGACGACGCACGCCGAGTCCGTCTACGACAAGCTGAGGATCTTCAACGGGCAGCACGGCGCCGCGTGGCACCGGCCCAACCCCTGGTCCGTGTAAGTATCCCAAGGACGACCGCCTTGGCGCCGCCTCGCCCGCGCAATTTCTCATCCACATGACTTGAACAACAGGTACCCGCCCGGAGGCAGCAGCCCCTTCCCGACGCTCCTACCGGGCAGCGCGAGTCCGCACGGCTTGGACAGCGACATTCCCTGCAAAAAAGGTGAGCGCTTTTATTCTCTTCGACATTGAACGCCGTGAACGGGAATCACCGGGGTAGATGGCGGCGGTTCCTCAGCAGGTGCGGCTAAACGGGGCGGCCGCTCGCCGAGCCGCTGAATGCCCTTGGAGGGCGAGAAGGCCCTCGGGTGGGGAGGGCGCGCCCCGCGGGGCGAAGGGCCCCGAAGGGCCTCGTTGCCGGCGAAGATAGGACGTGCCCTTCTTCCCCTCAGTAATGAAAAGTACAATAATGAATAAACAGAGCCCCGTCGGGGTGACGTCGGGGCGGGGAAGGGAGGGTGGGACGTGGTGGGGCGGCGCGGGTGGGCTGGCAAAATGGCGATCGAGAGGGAGCGGTGGGGCGCCGGGCGGAGGGCGCGGAGGGCGGCCCGGGTGGCCGCAGCCTCTTAGCCTCGCCGCCTGGCCTCCCCAGCCGACTCGCGCCGCGATTAAAACTCTCCCTTCTGCCGCGGTGGGCGTGTGCCGCTTGCCACCCCGCAGGGCCGCAGGGACGGACGCGCCGGGCAGTGCACCTGCCAAAGGTGTCGTATTAAAGCGTCGTACGCGACGCGGCGGTTCAGCGAGGGATGTACCAGGTGTTTCAGAAACCCCGTAGAAGTTTGAAGGTATGCAGACGAGTGGCAACCCTTGATCCCCGTGATCGCTCCGGCGCCCGCCGACCAGCACATAGGCAAGCCCGCCCGCACGACGGCGAGCGGGTTGCCTAACTTCAAACTTCTACGGGGTTTCTGAAACACCTGTACAACACCCTTTAGAGTACAGATATTTTAAAAAGTTCGTCCCGTTAGGTCTAACTTACCGATTGGGTCCTCAGTGGGAACCGTGTCAGTGTCTCTGTTTGTCCGTCCGTCAGTCCGTCCGTCGGTCCGCGTGTTGAGCCAGGCCGCCAGGCAGCCAGGCCGTCGTTTGTTCATTTGCCGCCTATAGCTGCCGGATTACGCAGCAAATATTGACTCGCCTTGTTCAAACTGCCCCCGGCTGCCCGGCCGCCACCCCGGCCGCGTCCCGCCGTCCCGCCGTCGCTGTTTGCCGCTGTTTGCCCGGCCCGGTCGCTGCGTCGCTGTGTTTGAGAAGGGGTGCCAACCCCAGCATCATTGTTGCGTCAACGACACACCCTCGACGGCCGCAGCGCCGCGGCCCGGCCCCGGCAGCCCCGGCAGCCCTGGCCCCGCTCGCCAACATGGAAACATATTCGCGCCCCCGACCCTGCAGACTGATTCCGAGAGTCGTCTCGTCGCTCTGTCTCTCTCGCACCCGTAAGGGACGCCCGATGAGTGCGAGAGAGACAGAGCGACGAAAACGACCTCCAGTCAGCTGGCAAGATGTGGCGCGGACGGGGAAATTCGACGTTCTGCATCGCGCTTCTGAGGAGAGGCGGCTTCGGCGAAGGGGACCTGTGTGGCGGGGGCGGGGGCGGGGGCGGGGGCGAGTCTCACGCGGGAATTTAACGAGGTTGCAACGCAGTGATGGGGAAAGTTTTCGGAGAAGGCCCCTCGCCCGCACCACGCCGAAGGTGCGGGACGTTTGGATTGAAGGAGCGAGGCGAGGCGAGGCGAGGCGAGGCGAGGGGTGGAGCGTGGAGCGACCCGCCGCCGCCTCGTCGGCCGCTACCACACTGCGCCGCACGCCGCCGCACGGCGCTTTGAAACCGGCGGCAAACAGTCTGCAAATGAAACGATACAGTATCAACGCTGTGGCTCGCGGCAAGGCACGGCCGGCACGGCGCCTCGCCCCGGGGCCCGTCAGAGACAGAAGGCGCGGCTGCTGCGCACACTCACTCATCACGCTCGCCTACCCCCACCCCCACCCCTGCCGTCCCCTCCCGCTAGATTCGCCGCATCTTTTCGCATTTTACACTCATCTGTCAGCAGCAGTGGCTGCCTGGCCTGCCTAATAGGTACATTACCCGCTTGAACCGCATGGGGCCCCATTATAAATTCGGCTGCCTCACGTCTAATAGTCGCACGCGTGGCTCGCATCACCCGACCACGCCCCGCGACCCCACCGTCGCTCTGTCTCTCTCGCACTCATGGGGCGTGCGAGAGAGGCAGGGCGACGAAAACGACTCTCGGAATCCGTCTGCTGCTCGGCCCGGCCGCCCCACAGTGGGCCAGAAGTCCGGTGGAGGCGGCCAAAACTCCAGACGCGTTTTAGGCTCCAGAGTCGCTAAACAGGCCTCGAACCGAAGGTGTGACCCCACCAATGGATTCCTCGTTCGGAGAGCAATCCATTGGTGGGGTCACACGTTCGGTTCGAGACCCATTTAGCGACTATGCAGCCCAAAACGCGTCTAGAGTTTTGGCCACCTCCACCGGACTTCTGGCCCACTGTGCACCCCCAGCCGAGGCCCCTCGTGCCATTTGTCGGCCCGGCCTGCTAGAGAAGTGCCAGAGGAGCCCCTTCGCTTCGCAGCTGCCGATTTTGGCGCCAATTCCGAGCGACCAGGGCCGCCGGTGGAAGGAGTGGAAAAAGTCTGTGCGGCTGTTTTCCCTACGGGCCCCGCCCCGCGCGCCCCGCGCGCCCCGCTCCGCTCCGTCCCCGGTTTTCAAGGGCAGGTCGGCAACCCCATCTGGGGAAGCCCTGGCGAGGGCCTGGCGAGGGCCTCGAGCGTGAAATCCGCGGATCTCACAATCAGCTGGTCCTGAGATTGGAATGCACTGGGGCGAGATGGCTTGCATTAAGCTCGTTTGAGCCGACGGGGCCGGGGCGCGCTGCTGCGGCGGCGTGGCGGCGTGGCGGCTGATGGGGAGGAGGGCCAGGCCGTGACGGGGCGCGGCGTCGCGAAGCTTGTCCTTGTTGTTTGTTGCTGTCTATCCCCGTCCCGCTGATACCTTCAGATCAGACCAGGGCGCAAGTGGGGCACGATCAGGGGGTACATGCACGGCAACGGCAAAGGCCCGAAGGCTCTGGCCTATGCGGACAACCATTACTAACACGGCCTGCAGGCCGTTCTTGCACTATTTCGCAGCAATGCCGCCTCTGCCGAGCTGGGCGATGGCCGATGGCCCCTGCGTGGTAGCCATCCCCGGGACTGCATAGACTTCTGCTGTCGCGAGGGGGCCCTAGATCACCCTAGACACAAAATGCAGAAATGATAGGCACATCATTTTCGACTATGCCCCTTTCCTCCTTCCATCGGGCTCCGATCTGCACACCACATTCTGGGCGTGTTTTGTCGGTATGGCCCTTGACCAGGGCGCGAGGGCGCGGGGCGTGCTGCGGTGGGGACGGAGGTGGGGGTCACGTCGTGCAACAAGTGCAGCGGCCACGCCGGGCTGGGGCGGGCGGAGGCGGGGGCGGGTGGGGCGCAGGGATTAGTACTTGGCTGCCCCCAGGCTCCAGGCCCCAGGGTCCCCAGAGGCTTGGGGGAGGTTTTGCGGCGCGTTGCGTTGCCTTGTCTGTGGGTTTCGGCTCGTGCCCACCAGCCGCACCATCCCTGCCGCCAGCGTGCCGCCAGCGTGCCCTCGGGCTGCAACGCGGCCTCCGCGAGGGCGAGGGGGATTGCTCCCAGAGGAGTCTTCTCGCGGCTCGCGCGCCGCGTCGCGGCCGAGGTCCCAGGAGGCCGCCGCCGTGGAGGCCGTGGGAGCACGGCGACATGCCGTCGTCATCGCGCTGCATACCATGCGGGCGGCGCACCGTGTCAGAAGACGGAAACGCCGGGCAACCTCTGCGGATCAGAATTCTCACTTCGCTCCCGAATCAAGTATTGACTACTTCTTGGTGAATTCACCGTCCGCAGGGCAATCTGTCGTTACTGCAATGAAACTGTATTTGAGTGCGCACCTTTCGAGGAGCTCTCAAGATCAAAGAGTACCCGCGCAGAGTCGAGTCCGCCGGAGCTGGTCACCTGGCCCGCGGCGTGGCGTCCTGGAGGCCGGAGGACACAGAACCGCGCGATGCGCATCGTCGTCGAGGCGGTGCACCGCGCCCCGCACTGGCGGCACGGCGGCACGCGGCAGGGCACGGCACGGCGCGGCACGGCCCGAGGCGACGATGTTAATCCGAGGCACGTAATCCGCGACGGCTAATCCAAGATGATCGCGTTGTCCGGGCACGGCACGGCACGGCACGGCACGGCACGGCAGGCAAGGCCATGGCCGCGGGGCGATCGTGTCGGCGCGGCGCACCCTTGCACTGCACACCCTCGCCAAACACGATGTCCACTTGGCGTTCGGGCTTCGGCAAGCGAATGTCGCAACGTGGAGGGTTAAATGGAGCAGAGTGAAGATCGCTAATGACTCATGGCAGCAGCTACACTGGGAGCAAGAAACGCTGTCGACACGTTCAAACAATTGTTACGACGTGGCGGTCGTTTCCATGTTAACGATCTTGCATGCACCGTGTTCGAGCGCCGCATTAAACACCCCCAGAATGACAAGCCACCCCGAGTTGTGCCGCGAGCATACGCCTGGCCAATGAGGCCGCTGGGCACGGTGGGGGTAAGCACCAGTAAGCACCAGTAAGCACTCGCACGCTCTGCCACTTGCCGCGGCCGGCGGCGCGCTCTCGACTCTCGAAGCGACTCTCGAAGCGACGCGGCGAGGCTCACTCGACTTTCGCTTTCATTCGAGAAAGGCCTCCCCTCGCCGTGCTTTGGCGTCGGCTTCCGTCCGCCTTCGATCCGTTGGTGTGCTTATACACGTCGAGCGGCGCGCCGCCCTTGCTGCTTCGGCTGTCCGGTCGGCCGGCAGAGCGGCGAAGAGGTAAAGAGGTAAAGCGGCGAAGCGCGCCGAGGCACAGTGGGCCAGAAGACCGGTCGAGGCGGCCAAAACTCAAGACGCGTTTTAAGCTTTACAGTCGCTAAACGGGACTCAAATCGAACGTGTGACCCCACTAATGGATTGCTCTCCGAACGAGGAATCCAATGGTAGGGTCACGCCTTCGATTCGAGTCCCGTTTAGCGACTCTGGAGCTCGTCTAGAGTTTTGGCCGGCTCCACCCTCGGCTCCACCGCGGTGTTCTGGCCCACTGTGCGAGGACGCG